GCTACTCTTGGTTCGATAAAACGCCGCATCTAATGCTTCCGTGACATTTTATCTCCATTGCCACGACATCTAAGGACTCCTTACTGATATCGTTGAGCTTAACCAAGACAACTTGTATACCTAGTATACCTTACGTTCCTAGGGAAGTAGTGATGCCTCGCTTTGGCATAGCCCATCACATACGCGCATTAGTTCGGTAAGTGTTGTTCTTGGAATGGCATATTTTAGCTCAATATTATTAAGGGACCTAGGGTTTCTATGTCAGTTGATTTAAGTGAACTTAACTAATCACCGCAACATTTGAAATCCTAGACATGCATCTAACATTCAAATATACATATAATTACAATATATATAAAGCATAAAATAGATGCATTTAGCAACTAGCATGACCCCTTGAAATCTTCAATTTCCATGGGTCTTCATCTTGGCTCGTCTTCATCGAAACGCCGTTTTGAGACATCTTGGCCGAAATAAAACAACTAGCTAGTACGACTAAGATTAATCTAAAGTACAAAAATACTTAACGGTTCGCACACCGTATTTAGATTTACAAAAATACATAGCGGAACGCAGTCCGTATTTTCTATCCTAGTCGTGCCTCACTAGTTGCCATTTTCAATAACCTGTTTTGAAAACAATCTTCCATTCACCCATTCACTATTTGTGAATGGCCCATGCAAATTACGAAATACATAATTAAACACGCAAAACTAGTAACTAACTTAGGTGGTTAATCCGATTAACGCGCCTAATTAAAACTAGTCAAAGTTGTTTAATCAATTATTTCTAAAATCAAATTGCTCAAGTAATCAAATAAGCTCCCACTAAATTCCGCATCCATACTTAATTAATCCAATTAATTAAGTTGGTATAACCCATAATTTGTCAAAATCAAAATTTTGCAAAAGCCGGAAAAACCGAGGTCTAACCTCATTAAAATCATTACATAAATAATTTAAAAAGGCAAAAATTTTCGCAAAATTACATAGCCCGAAATTAAGCCAAAACCGCCCACTCGCATCCTAGTAGGCTGTGCACCATGGCTGCTAGGCAGCCCATGGCCTGTGTGTGGTGCTGGTTGCTAGCAAGCACGCCTAGCGCAGCCTGCTCTGCTAGCTAGCACCAGCATCACGGTACGCATGCTAGCTGCTAGCTGGCGCAGGCAACAGTGGGCTGGCTGGCTGGGGTTTGCTGCCTTGCTGCCCAGCAGCAGCACAAGCACGCTAACAGCCTAAAGCCCACGCACCCAGCATCACGCAACAGCACACAACACACGCAACAGCCCTCGCCACACACTGCACAGCAGCACCATGGCATGACCCCTACGCACACCATAGGCAACCTACATGCGGGCTGCTGGGCAGCCCGGCTAGCCTTGGTGGTGGTTGTTGTTTTGCCTCGATTTGCGTGCATTTTTCTCAGGATTTAATCCCGATTTACGTGCGACGTAAAATTAATCTAGATTTATTTTAGAATTAATTTAGGGAAAAGATGAAAATAAAACAAGTCTAACTTAATTAAATTCACTTTAACGGTGCACAAGCCTAAATTATCCATAATTAATTTTCTTGATGCTTAAAATTGAAAGAGCTATGTCCATAATTAATTTAACCAATATGTAAATTAATAATGGATTTGACAAATGGGAGTTGGAAAAATAAATTAACCATCTAATGATAAAATTTTCCAACTTTCATACTTGTGTAGAATACCAAGATTACATCTTCCAAAATGAAGATTAATCAAATTTTACTCACAAGTATTGAACATCATGGATTTTAATCAACCAAACATGAAAAAAAATCCAAACTTTGTTCAATATGGAATTTAGGGTTAAAGTTCCAATCAATTAAACATTTAAAGATTAGATCTTTAACATACTTGGGAACTTAAAATTACACATTCACATCAAATATTCACACATTGTTGCAATTAATTTGCAAAATTTGTGAAAAACAAGTTTGTGTGAAAAAGAGCATATCTACTTAAGCACTAATTAAACTCCATAATTATGCTTAAGGATAATTTAACAAATGCAGTAGATTAGGGATGCAATAATGCATTTAATCTACCCTTGAAATGCTTGCATTAATCAAGGCTTAAAAGATTTAAAACTTTCGTTGAAAACGAAAAAACCCCAGAAACTTGGGTTTCTGGTTTGAATTTGGCTTCTGGACAGTCCTAAAAGGGTTGAATCTGTTCCAGAATGTCGATTCCACCCAAAAACCACGATTTTTGAGCCAAAATCTGGGTTTGACATCCAAATCGAGAAAAATACGAGTTTTAAAATTAATTAAAACGAGCTTCTAATCTAATTAGAAAACCAAAACTAGAAATTACATCTTACTTAAAAACACCTTAATTAATTAATAATTGCAATAATTAAAAGGAGCGCGGCTCCGATACCGCTGTAGGGTTTCGTAGTGACCCACACTACGCGGAAAGGAAACCCCCAAGAACCGCCCCGATAACTAAAGCAATTAAGACAAGCATAAACATAATTAAGCAATAATTAAAAGAAGAGTGAAAGAAGTTATACCCTCGATGCGTGCTTCGCTCGCAAATCGAGCTCTTACTTCGAAAGCTCGAGCGTCACTAGTGTGAACGCCTCCAAGGGCTCGTACCCACGAACCCGACCCAAACGGTCCAAGTCCCGAAGGTTACTCAGGACCCGACCAATAAAAACTTGGAGTTTTACGAACTTAGAGGTTTTCTCACCTAATGGGAGATGCCTCATTGAGTTCTACTCAAGTGGTTTTTCCCAAAACCCAAACTTGGGTATTTATAGGGAAAGGAGATTTGAATCTCCCTTCTCCCATCCATGTGGGAGAATTGCAATTTCCTACTAATTTATTTTAATCAAAAATAAATTAATGAACAATGCAATCAATGAGTTAAGAGTGTCAAATGGAGGAAGAATGGTTAGGTGAGGACCATTCCAAGAAGGGGGGGGGGGGGGAGGACCATTGCCTTGATGCCCAAGGAAATGCCCACAAGCCTTGGTCCCCTCACCCAAATCGTATCCACCATGTGGCTGGGACAGCTGGCTGCCAAGGCAGCCTTGATGGCGCCTGGTGCCTAGGCTGTGCTAGCAAGCCAGCTAGCACAAGCATGCGCACAGCCAGTAAGCTACGCACAACATGCGAGCTGCTGCTGTGGCATGGCGTGTGCTGGGCGCTGTCTGGCAAGGATGCTCGCCCATGCTACTGCTGACCCCGCAATACGCCCAGCCCAACTCTCTCACGCACAGCCCGCATTGCTAGCAAGGCCCAGCCCTGCGATGATGCGCGCTTACGAGAGGCTGGCTGCTTGGGCGCGCCATTTCCTAGCACCATGCGCAGCCTTGCACGCATGAGCCTAGCACGCTGCTATGCGAGGCACACGCACACACACGCACAGCCCAGCATGCCTAGCACGCTGCTGGCTGGTGCGTGTGTTGCTTGCGATGCTGCGAAGCACTAGGCTGCCATGGTCATGTTGTTGCTGCCAGCGTCTAGCATGCTAGCAAGCTGCTAGCGCCCAGCGTGCTAGCTAGGCTGCCAGCGCCCAGCATGCTAGCTAGGCTGCTAGCGCCCAGCACCATGCACAGCATAGCATGCTGCTATGCGATGGTGTGGGGCTGCCATGGCCAGCTAGCATCATGAGCCTAGTATGGCTAGCATACTAGGCTTGCGATGGGGCTTGCCTAGCCTAACACTCACATGGCTAGGCCAATGCGATGCTACGGCTAGGCACGTACTTGTAACTCGATTGATTTTACGTCTCGTCGTATTCTAAATTCGACTCAACTTGCGACGCTCGATCTCGACGCTCTAATCTCGATATCCGACGTCTTTGTTCGTAAAACTTCGACGACTCATCAAAATCCTTCGGATTGATTCGTCGTCTTGGATCGGTTGTTCGATTGGGTTCGACCTGAAGGGTTCAGTCAAGATTAAGCTGTAATATTAATTGTACATTAATATTACTGATCGGAAGCGGCCTCCACCTAGACATTCGGATCACTTGACCTTACTGAAGAATTAGCTTTCGATAACTCTGAACCCTCTATCGGAATAATACACTTGTTGGAAGGACACCATTCCTTTCAAAGCTAGCATCTACTACATACTTTCTTATGGGGAGTAAGTTGTATAGGGAAGATCCTCAAGGCATTTTACTAAGGTGTGTTAGCACAAAGAAAGTGTTCACCATTTTAAGAGAAGTCCATCATGGAATTTGTGGGTCACACCAAGCAGTAGGAATGACAAAGGATTGGATTCGGGTCGGATGAAGCTCCACCCGTATCCAACCGCTTAGTCCATCTGCTCCACCCGATCCACCCGCCACCCGCAAAACCCATAACCCGCATCCTATCCATCCATCATTTACGGTTGAAACGGGTGGATCGGATGCTTAGCGGGTAATATTATAATTTTATTTTTTTGTAAATACATAAAAGTTATTGGTGGTTAATATTACGAGTGATGACTATATTTTTAACGAATACATCAAAATTATCGATTTTACCCTTATAAAAAAAATAATAACATCATATTTAATATTTTTAAGAAAAATATTTAAGTACTGGTAGAGTATATAAGGTCAATTTTTTTTTTGAAAAAACTAATTTATATCAAATGGATGGCGAATTGGGTGATAAACGGATGACGGATCGGGTGGTGGATGGAATGGAGCCCCACCCGAATCCGACCCAATCTGTCACCCGTTTCATCCGTCACCCGCCCTTCATCCATTTAATGCGGATTTTCGTCAATTTATTTATATTGGGTGGATCGGGTTTACGGATATCCATTTATAATTGCCATCCCTACCAAGCAGGAACTAAGATGAGGTGGTTAATCCATCACATGGGATTTTATTGGCCTTCAGTTAGAAAGGATTGTTTGCAATATGCAAAAGGTTGTAAACAATGTCAATGCTTTAGACCAATAAGTAGGGCACCATCAATAAAATTGCACCCCATTATCAAACCGTGGCCTTTCAGAGGTTGGGCAATGGATGCAATTAGGCCTATTAAACCTCCCTTATCTGCTCACCATGAGTATATTCTGAAAGCCACAGATTACTTTAAAAAGTGGATTGAGGTCCAAGCCTTCAAGAGTTTAAATGTAAGGGCAGTAATCTTATTCTTGGAAGAGAAAATCTTTACAAGATATGAGATTCCGAAATCTATAACCGTGAATCAAGCAACCATGTTTACAGGATATGAGTTCAATTCCTATCTCAAGGAATTCGAGATTCAAAAGATTCATTCAACCCCTTATTTTGCCCAAGCTAATGGACAAGCTGAAGCCACTAACAAAGTAATCTCTAAAGGAATCGCTAAGATGGTGGTTGAAAATCCTAAAAATTGGCACATTCTCTTGCACTATGCTACTTGGGCATATAGAACGTCAAAAAGAGATGCAATAGGAACTACCCCTTACCAAGTATTGTATGGGCATAAGCTTATTGTACCAGAAGAACTAAGCGTTAAGTCTACCAGGGTAGCTAAACAAATGGGTATTAACCAGGAAGACTATCAATAATCTATGTCCATTAAATTAATGGACGTTGAGGGAGAGAGACTCCAAGAGCTAGCTAAAATCGAAGCTCAGAAAAGACAAGTAGCAAAATCTTATTACAAAAAGGTGAAACGTAAAATCTTTATGGAAGGGGATTTAGTGTGGAAGATGAAGCTTCCTGAACATGACTATAAGGATTATATTTTTGGCAAATGGTCTTCCAAATGGGAAGGTCCATTCAGGGTTTACAAAGTCATGTTTGGGAATGCCTATTTACTGCAAGAGTTAGATGGGAAATGTTTCCAAGGGCACTTAATGGAAAGTTCATTAAACAATACAACCCAAGCATATGGGAACAACATAAGAATTTACAACAAAAACATCCATCATTAGAGGCTTTTGACAAATAAAATGTATTGTTTACGATCGAAGGGGACTTTTCAGCCATTGCTTTGCGTTTAACCTCAGAAAGATGAACCTTGCATTTGTTCATCAGCGCCATCTGCGTACCATGGTGATCAAATTGAGATAAAGATTCTTGAACCATTGGAGCACTCTCAGATATCTAACGCTTCAATTGTTTCTTCTCCCTTCTTCAGTCCTGAAGGGAGGAGATAAGCTTTACAAGGATTTGAAAGAGGTGTATTGGTGGCCTAAAATGAAGAAGGAGGTGGCAGAATTTATATTTGTAGCGAAGTGTCTAACCTGTCAGAAAGTTAAGATAAAGCATAAGAGACGACAGGGAACCGTGCAACCACTCGAGATCCCGGCTTGGAAGTGGGATTACATCTCGATGGATTTTGTCACTAGCTTAACTAAGTCTAAGAATGGGAATGATACCATCTGGGTTGTGGTGGATAGACTTACCAAATCGGCAATGTTTATACCAATGAAGGAGACTAGGAAAATGGAACAACTTGCAAAGGCTTACATCACAAATGTTGTAAGGCTACATAGAGTTCCTAAGGATATCGTTTCTGATAAGGATTCTAGGTTTCTTTCGAAATTCTAGAAAAGTGTTCAGAAGAACTTTGGTACAACATAGAAGATGAGTACATCATTTCACCCTGCAACAGATGGACAATTTGAGAGAACTATCCAAACCTTGGAAGATATGTTAAGATCATGTGTGTTAGATTACCAAGGTGGATGGGAAGATAGCTTGGACTTGGTAGAATTCACTTGCAACAATATTTACCATGCAAGCATTGGCATGGCACCATTTGAGGCCTTGTATGGAAGGAAGTGTAGAAGTCCACTATGTTGGAGTGACATTAGTGAGACATTAATTCTAGGTCCTCAATTGGTAGAAGAAACCAAGAAGCAAGTGAGAGAAATCTAAGCTAAGATTCAAGCTACTCAAGATAGACAAAAGAGTTACGCAGATTTAAAGCGTAGAGAAGACGAATTCCAAGTGGGTCATAAGGTTTTGCTTAAGGTTTCACCAATGAAAGGAGTGACGAGATTTGGGAAGAAAGGGAAGTTTAGTCCAAAGTACATTGGACCATATGAGATTTTACAAAGAATAAGTAATGTTGCTTATAGATTAGCATTGTATATGGACCTCAGCAAGGTACACGATGTGTTTCACGTTTCTCAGTTGAGAAGATACATCCCAGACAAGTCGCATGTCCTACAACCTGAAACCATAGAACTAGACCAAATCCTAACCTATGAAGAAAGACCTGTAAATATTCTTGATAGTAAAGTGCGTAGTACACGCAAGAAAGATGTCAAGATTGTAAAGGTTTTGTGTTCGAATCAAGAAACTGAGGAAGCGACATGGGAAGCTGAGAATGAAATGAGAAAGAAGTACCTAGAGTTGTTTGAGGTTAGTTTAGTTACGAGGTCGTAACTTGTTTTCTTTAAGGGGGGTAGAACGCAGTAGAATTTTGCGCTTTTTACCTTCACTTCAAGCATTTCTGTGCATTTTTAGTATATTTTGTACAATTTTATATAAAGTTTAGAAAAAAAGATAACAAGAAAGGTTACAAAAAGTACAACAACTATAAGTATTAAGAAAAGTTTTTACTAAATGGGTGAAAAAGTGCAGTTTTAAACAAGTTTCCGTGCTCAAGTTTTGAGGACAAAATTTTTTTTAAGGGGGGTAGACTGTAATACTCCGTAATTTATAATATTTATATATATAAATTATTTATTTTATTTATAAATTAAAATGATTCATTTCATTTTAAAAGAATTTAATCATTTAAATATTAATTAATTGTGTATAAAATAATATGAGTCATTACTTGAGGCAATAAAGTGATTTTAATTTGGGTCAACATCAATTAAATTGATGGATCAACTTCTTGGAAATTCATGAACACTTAAGAGCCCAACAAGTTGGCCCAAAGGAGAAGTTAAGGGGGAGTAAGATTAGTAATGGCAGTTTTGTAAATAAGTGTTGTTGTTTTAAAAGGGTAGTATAAATATTTTAAAACCTCAAGAATTTTACACTCTAAAATATAATTGTCAGATTTCACAAAAACCCCAAAAGTTTTCCACCTATTTTCTTTCTCCTTTTTCCTCTCTTTTTTTTCTCTCTCTCTTCCACACCTATCTCTCCTCTCTTTCATCTCGTCCGCCGACAACTGGCGCTACCACCATCACCGGCGAGCCACCAGCGATCACCGGCGAGCAGCAGCAGCTGTGCGCCACCCTCCTTCTCTCTTTTTCAGTTCTGTATTATATATATATATATATATATATATATATATATATATATATATATATAACTCTTTCTCTCTCCTAATTTAATTCTAGTTGTTTTATTATTTTAAAGCATGATTTTTTATTATGTTTTGGTATTGTTTTTGGGTATTTGATGTTGTTAAATTATTCCTATAATTTTCATATTTAATTTAATCAAAAACCTCAATTTACAAACCCTAGAATTTGGGAATTTAATGTTTATTGTTAGGGTTTGATCCTAGGTTGTTGTGGTTGTTAAATTAATGGTTTAAACATGTTACTAATGAGTTTAAAGCCCTCAATTTAATGCTGGAATTTAATTATACACACTACTTTTTAATTATGGTGTTAGGGTTTGATTACCCATAAAAGGGAAAAAGGTTTTAATGATTTAAATATGAATTCCTAGTCTGTCAGTGATGTTTTATATTAAATAGGTATGCTGGAATTTTATTTAAGTCATAAAAACTAAGTCTTTTTGAAAGGATTTAAAGTACCCAGTTAAAGAAAAGGTTTTATGGCTTTTATACCATTAAATTGGGTTAATTAGTAAGGTCTAAAGAGTATTATAGTTGTTGGAAATTTTTGAGAATAGTGGATTAATTATAGTTATGTATTCTTATGTGTAGGAAGCTTTGAGCTAGGTGATTTCTAGCGAGTGTGGCCGAGTTTAGGCACTATTCAAGGTACGTATGTGCACAAGAATATTTGTGTATGCGTAGTATCACGCTAGAATTGTAAAGTATGATTTAAGTGATGAAGTAGTAGCATGTTTAGTTGATTATATGTTTGGAATTGTTGTTGGTTGAGCATGAATTATTATGCAAGCATGTGAATATGTTATTTGATTCATGATACAAGTTGAATATTGTGAATCATGGAAGTATGTTTTATTTTCAAGTATCAAGAAAGCATGAATTTAATAAGCAAGGTTTATGTATGTTTAAAAGAGCTAAAGTTAGAATTATTGAGCATTATTCATGAATTTATTTCTCGCCCATTTATTATTGGTGTTGAGTTAAGAAGTTAGTTTATTTATTTACTCACTCACGTAAGTTGAGTTTGAGTCAAAGAAGCTTAATTAGTAGTGCATCGTATGCACCAAAGTAGTAATTGTGCAATTTTGTGCACAAAACTAGCCAAGGAACCTTAATTAAAATAAATAGTATGTACTCTCTAATTAATTCAAGAATGAATTGGACGTATGAGATGAATGTTGCTATGTTTGTTCTTGATTGATTGGTTTGAGTCGTCACATGTTAAATTGGTAAATCACGTAAAGTGTAAGAAGATACACACCAAAACTCTTAGAACGTATACATTTGGAGTAAGAACATATGGGGGGAGTTATGGGGTTTTATATTTAACCATAGCTTCTACAGGAGTACAGGACACTATACTTTCTTTTATTATTAATGTGCTTGAATTCCATCACAAGTGTGATATAGTAGGTGCCAATTGGGGTAGCTCCCTAATTGGAAGATGAATATTTAAATGGGCTATATTTCAAGGAAGGAAACCCGTTCGATGCGTAATCCAAAATTTTATTTAATAATTTATATTGTTAGTTATGAGTCAAAGGTAAGATGACTTGTGATTGTATGGCGAGCATGTTTTAATTATTTTCATTGATGCTAGGATATTGATGTTAGTGTGGTGTATATGTAATCAGCTTTTGCTGATTCGTACTTTTGTGTTTGTATTTGGCTTTCCTTTGGATTGGCCCTACTATGACCCAATTATATGGTGAGTAAAGGGGTTGAAATAAAAAGAAAGTGACAGGTACTTGAAGCATGAAAAGCATGAAGGGAATGAGGGCCGAGAGTTACTTGTTATGCTCTCTTAGTTTTATGTTTTGAATTGATGGTTTATTGTTTATGGACTAACTTTGTTATGTTTATTTTTGAGTTGGTTTTTAAAGGGACATGATTGAATTGGTTCCAACTTGTGAACGATTTAATTTCTACTTTTGTTTTGAGGTTGTGAACTCAATTTTTAATTTGAAAGTTGGTTTTTATTTTTAAACTTTCGCTGCGTGACTTTGAAAAATAGCCTTAGCCATTATCACGGTGGCGGTAATATTTTGGTTATTTCCTAAGCAGGGTTTTATTTAGAGTAAAATGAGTATTTTAAAAGAAAGAAATTTCTAGGGTATTACACAAAGTTTCGGTAAGTGTTATTTGGAATGGCAATTTTCAACTCAATTTTATAGGGACTTAGGGTTCTATGTTGGTTGTTTTAAGTGAACTAAATAAACATTCAACATTGAAATCCTAAAAATGCATCTAAATATCAAGATATATAAGCAATATAAATCGACATATATAAAATGCATAGTGAACTAGCATGACCCCTTGAAAGATATCTGAAGCATCCAATCTTCAATCTTCAAGGTCATCTTGGCACCTTTAGGCTCCATCTTCAAAGAAACACCGTCTTTCTTGACTTCACCATCAAGCATGCAAGAACTAGATACTAGTAATCTAAATTAACTAAGTACAAAAATACTTAACGGTGCGCAGTCCGTATTTAGATTTACAAAAATACGTAATGGAAGGCAGTCCATATTTTCTATCCTAGTCGGGCCATACTAGTCACTTTTGTAAAAACCTACATAAGAGCAGTTATAATATTCCATTCACCCATTCACTTCTAAAGTGAACGACCCCATGCAATTTTTACAAACAATACAAGCAATAATACAAAACTTGTATCAAACAAGCACACACTAGTTACTAACTTAGGTTGTTAATCCGATTAACATTCCTAATTAAAACTAGTCAAGTGTTTATCCAATTATGTGAACTAACGCATTAACAATAAGCATAATTAAAGCTTACGAGCTCAAAACCAATTAATGAAGCTCTCACTAAATTCCACATCCGATTAATTTTTAATTAAGCAAAACGAGTCATTAATGTCAAAAAATGCATATATGTGAAAAACCAAGGCCTAGCCTCGTTTTAAACATAATCGCAAAATCGCAAAACCAAGCTAAGTGCAGCTAGCAGCGCATCGAGGCACCTGCTAGCCCTAGCAGCCTCGCAGCATGCTTCGCATGCATGCATGCACACTGCTGGTGCTGGCAGTGTGTTGTTGCACTTGCTAGTGCTCGCATTGTGTGTTGCCTAGCACCCCTATCCTTGCGAGCTACTGCTCATCGTACCGCATGCCCTTTCGCACCTGCTCGCACATACTCCCGCACACACGCACTCCTCGGCAGCAGCATTTGGGAATATTAATCCCAAATATTTGCGTGACCTTAATTAATTCCAAATTGAATTTTAGAATTAACAATTGAGCAATTTTGAATTAATATCAAGTCTAACTCAATTAATCTAAGTTTAGTGCAAAAACCAAAATTATTTTCAAGAGCCATTCTTTAATAATTTTAGGTCAATTTGATGCAATAAAAAATTAGGGGCTTGTTACATAATTAATTTATCCAAAGATTAAAATAATTATGAATTTGACAAAATAAGTTGAATAAATTAATCAACCATTCAATGAAAATAATTTATCCGACAAATACTCATGCATATTTGAATATTTCAACCTTCCAGTGATGAATAATACTCGAGCATAAATATGAACATTCATGATTTTAATCAATTTCCATAATGATTTAAACTCAAAGTGTGTTCATTTTGAATTTTAACAAGTCAATATTCAATCAATTAAACCATTAAAGATTCAATCTTTGACTATTTTAAGGGTTCAAAAATCACATTTGAACATAAACTCATTCATTTCAAACAATCTAATTGTAGAATGAACAATTTCCAAGTTTATGCAAAATTAGAGCAATCCAAATTAAGCAACCAAATCGTTTCAAAACATGCTTAATAAGGAATATAATTGTATTAGATTAATTCCATAATCAATCGCATAATCCACTAATTATATGCAATAATTAATCAGGGTTTAAAGATTTAAAATTTTCTTGTTCTAAACGAAAAACCCTTCGAAAAACACATTTCTAGGCAGATGTTGGCCTATGGCAACCGTTTTTCATCACTTTGTGGGTTAAGGTTGGTTTGGAACATCGATTCCACCCAAAAATCACTATTTTTGAGTCGAAATCTGGGTTAGTAGTCATGAATTAGCAATAAAATGATTTTATCTAATAAAATCGAGATCCTAATCTAACTAGGTTGCTAATCCAGATTTTTAAATCTATTTTAAATCAACTTAATTAATTTTTAGTCGCAAAAATTTAATGCAGAAGGCTCGTGATACCGCTGTTGGGTTTTACGGTGTACGAACACCGCGCGGAACCAAAACCCGCCCAAGGACCACTTGCATAAATTAAAGCGATTGAACTAAAACATCCATATAATTAATAAAATAATAAACACATAACAGAGAGAGAGAGGGAAAAGACGTTCATACCCTTGAAGCGTGTTTTCTATTTAGCATGAACACGAACCCACGAATAGGAATAGAAAGATTTCTTTTTAGCTTTATTGGAGTTGGTAGATTTTCGTTAGGAATAGTTAGTAGATTTTCGTTAGGAATAAAATTAGAGTTTTAGTTAAATTGGGTTTTGTTTTTCTTTTTTTATAAAAGGAGCAGTAGTAGTATTAAGGGGGGGAGCTCTTTACATACGTAGTTTAGATTAGTTTTTAGCTTAGCTTTTTATCAGATATTCTTTGGATTAGTTATTATGTTGTGAAATAAGGAGAAGATATGAGAGATGGAGAGAGAATTAATATGAAACAGTCAATACGGTTATGAAGGGAATCAGTAAAAAAACGTTAGCAATAATCAAGGCACTAAGCCTTGTTCAAAAACCGTACAAAAATTAAGCTTGTTTAATAAACCCGACCCGACCCAGCCTAGCCCGGCTCGGCTCAATTCAGTTCGGCGCGCGTGTGTGAGAAAGGTTGGCTTAGTAGGTAAGTCCTCCCTCTCCACAAAATGTGGGTAGCCCTTGGGCCACACCCAAGTACTCCACTATCTACTTTATAAAGGAAGGAAAACTTTCATTTCCCACCAATGTGGGACTTTGGTTTTTCACAAAATTCACACCCATACACACTTTGTTCTAACAATACCCCACTTGAATTTTTGAAAACATTTTCAAGCAGAATCCATACACATATAGGTTGTGCATAAACAGAAGTGTTTTTCAACTTGAACTCCTGCGTAGTAAATACGATTCAGATTTAACAAGGGTAACTCGAAGTTTTGAACCCTATCTCTGACAATGTACCACACAAGACCTATTCTTGGTGTTGTTATAGACCCAGCTATTACGGCCATGCACGTCTATCCAAGTGTAGTGAACGCTCTAGAAATGCTGCCACACATTTCATAAGAAGCGGCCTAACTTCCACATTCACATAGGTGAATCTATCAAGAGTACTCCTAGCTAGGTACTCCACTCCAAAATGGAGTATAGATTTCATTAAGAGTCCTATTAACTCATCCTTGATCGCTTCAGGAATTTATGTCTTTTGAACATAACCAACTCATATCACTCCATAACTTGTTATTACCCATTGAACCTATTTCTTGGGATCTCCAGTCCATAGGTTGGGTTACCATTATGTGTGACTCATTTTAATGGAAATAGTCCCATTCTCTTAGAAGAATAATGGACTTTCTCTCTAGCCAATCCTTTCGTCAAAGGATCAGCCAAATTATTCTCAGTATGTACATGATCCACTCTAACAACTCCGATTTAAGATATTCTCTTACAGTGTTGTGCTTACGACGTATTTGTCGTCTCTTACCGTTGTAGTAACGGTTCTGAACTTTTGCAATAGTCACGGTACTATCGCAATGGATCAAGACAGCCGGTAATGGTTTTTCCCATAAGGGAATTTCACCTAGCAGGTCTCTTAACCAACCTGCTTCTTCACTAGCTGTAGCTAGTTTTCTGACTCCATGCTGGACTGAGCCAAAATATTCCGTTTCTTAGACTTCCAAGATACAGCTCCACCGGCTATAGTAAAAATATATCCACTAGTAGCCTTAGAGTCATCTGATAAGGTGTTCCAGTCAGCATCACTATAGCCTTCTAGTACAACTGGAAACCTTTCATAATGTAATCCTAGGTTCATGGTCCTCTTAAGGTATCTCATGACCCTCTCAATAGCATGCCAATTCTCATTACTAGGACAACTAGTAAACTGCCTAACAATCCCACGACATAGGCAAGTTGGGTCTAGTACAATCTGTGGCGTACCGAAGGCTACCAATGACGCTCGCATAATCAGATTGCCTTACGGCATCACCAGTGTTCTTAAATAATTTTACACAGGGATCATAAGGTGTACTAGCAGGTTAACAGTCAAAGTAACCATATTTCTTTAGGATTTTCTCAATGTAATGAGATTGATCCAAAGAAACTCCATTTTCTGTCCTAGTAATCTTAATTCCAAGGATTACATTCGCCTCTCCTAGATCTTTCATATCAAACTCAGCATTCAACAATAGCTTTACATCATTCACAACATGAGTGTTCGAGCCAAAAATTAACAAGTCATCCACATACAAACAAATTATAGTGCAAATGTCATTCTCAAATTTTACATATATGCATTTGTCACTACCATTTATCTTAAACCCATGTGAGATGACCAAGTTATCAAACTTTTCATGCCATTGTTTAAGTGCTTACCTAAAGCATTCCCTAACACTCTCTTTTGACTCAAACACCCCCCACACTAGAGTAAAGCATCGTCCTCAATGCTTCACAAGTACATGGAATAAAAGGGTAGGGAGAACAAAGGGAGGGAACAAAAAGACCAAGGGGGAAACTAGCTGCCACTAGGGCTGGCACCGCCGTCATCCGCACTCTAATTGTTGTAGGAGAAACCCGAGGAGGGGCCATATGGGTCCCACCCTCCGGTGTAGCCGGGAGGCCACCCATAATGACCCTGGAAAAGGTCGAGTTGGGATGCGGATAACTGGTCAAAAGGCTCGGGTTGGATTAGAGGTGAGGGGTGAGAGGGATCAACGTAATAATCACTCCCACCCGATACCCGGTAGTCATATTGACCGCACTCATCGGGGAACTCACGCCTAGGCACATTGGGGTCCGAGGACCCCTGCCAATAGGGGTACGTAGGATGGTTGTCACCCCCCCAAGATGGCACGGGTCCTTGTTGGGCCGGCACATAAGGGTAGTTAACCGGGGGAGTGACATCCCCTCTACATACACTAGCATCATACAGGGCGTTAGTTTGGAAAGAAAGGTGTTGATGGGAAGCAAACATACCTTGCATGCTTTCCATTTGGGCTCTCATTGCATGCATTTGTTGTTGGTAGTCGGGTTGATATTGTTGTTGTTGTTGCCTTCTTCCTTGCTGTTGGGACTGTTGTTGTTGTTGTTGTTGCTGACTTAGAGGGGTGGCCCTCATCACGCTCTCATCTTCCTCATGCTCAAAACCTTCACTGGACCCTTCTCCCGTCTCCATCCTTACAGTAGGGAGGATACCCAAATCCTTCTTTAACCACCAAGGGTAATTTACCCTCTCCCTCGTGAAGGAAGTGAACTCCGGCTTGGGGAGGAAGCAATGGTGCTCATGAGAGACAAGCAAGGTCCAAGTCCTTCCTTGACCCTCAGTAACTGCGATGAATTTCATGGTCTTTAACTGATCGAGGTCGAGCCAAATATCGCTCCCATCACTCTTCCCCATAGGGGTGCAGGACTCCAATTTATCCATATGACCCAACTTCTCGGCTATCCGAGTGATTATCCCGCCAAAATGGATCTCCCCCTTCTTTGTACCCAAAAGGACACCTTCAATGCACTTAGTGAATAGAAACCCGAAGTTCATTCTATTCCCAATCTCCGGCTGCGTAGCAAGCCATAGAATTCGGATCTCTTCAGTTGTAATCTTCCCCAAGTCTTGCTTATTAAAGACCATGTACCCGAGAATTCGATGCAGAAGTCTGATGGTTGGGTGCATGATTTGGTTGGCTAATGAATACTTGGAGTTGAAAGCGTCCATCCTCGAGATGACCTTCCACCAATGAAGGGGCTCATAAGCATGGAGGCCTTCATGCTCGGGGAAGAACATATCAGCATCCGGGTTTAGGTCCAGTAATTGGTTAAACTGGCGGAGGGTGAGGGTTTCTTTTTTGTTAAAGAGTTGGAAGGAGATGGTGAGGTCCCTATCCCCTGTGTCATGACATTCGAAAGAGGCAAGGAACTCAAGAGTGGGCTCCTTGAAAGTCCGGTAGGCACTTGTTACAAACGAGCCTAACCGGAGATTGTTGAATAAGAACCAACAATCGTCGTCAATGCCGAGTTTTGTGGTGGTGGGTTGGTGGTAGTGCTTGGTTGGTCTCAGTTTTTGATTTTGAAGGTTGTCGTAGATGGGCCTGTGGTTTTTATTGTGGAATTTGGGGGGTGGTAAAGGTGGTGGAGCGGTTTGTTCACTTTGTTGGGGGGTTTGATGATATTGAGCCTTGAGTTTCTTTCCCACTTTTTCTTTTCCTTGACCCAAAAACCATTTTCACCAATAGCAATATGCAATCCAATACCACAAAAATCACACCATAATAATTTCCCAAATTCAATCAACCACAACAATGGGCACAGTTCCAAAATCACCAAGCACAACTCAAACCAAGCAACCTAATTGAACAATCAACTAACAAGACAACAAATCAACAATTAATGATGCTTAAGATGATGAATGAGCACAATATAGGCATGCAACAATCAAAAATTCCCACATGAAAATTCACAAGCATGTAATTTCTCAACCAAAGGCATGCTTCAAATTCAAAGGTAAATGAGAGTAAGGAAGAAATGTATACCAAAATGAGTACCCACAATTGCTCCTACCATCCCCTTGAAGAAGAGATCAAGCCTACCTTCAAGAACCCTCCAATGGTGAAAGAAAGTTCCACACAAAGAGGAATACCAAAATTGGGGGTTTTAAAGGATGAAATTTCAGATTTTTGGTGAGAAAAATTGAAGAAAAGTGAGAGTATTTGTTGAAATTTGATGATTTAGGATGAGGGATTGAGGTAGTTTGAGTTAGGGCATGAAAGGGGTGAAGTTTAGAGAGAGAAGGGCTGAGAATTCTGAAATTTGGGGGGGGGGTTTCTTTTCGGCTTTTTGCTAAGAAAATTGGCTAAAAATTCGCAGACCCGCAGGGCCGCGCCCGCGGGTTGGAGGTCCGCGCCCGCGGGTTAACCTGTCCGCGCCCTCGGCCCTGGCATCCCCAGTTTCTGACATTCTTGCCGCGCCCGCAAGATGGAGTGACGCGCCTGATTAGGGGATTTTGCTCCCACCAATCGGAATGCGCCACGTGGGCCAATCAGGTCCTGCCAAGTGTCCCCCAGTTGGACCTCTCAGGGCTTGCCACGTGGCACACGCTTATTTGTCCACCCTGGACTTATTATGTCATGACACGTGGCATACACCATGCCTAATGGAGAAGCCGGTCACCTAGGCCCAACTTCCGAGGGAAGCCCAATCAGCCCAAGGTTAACCTAAACCTAGATTGGCACGTTTCCCGAGGTTATAAATACCTCCTTTAATCCTCATTATGGGAGATTACGCAGATTACACACATTAAACACTCTCACCTAGAGAGACCCAATCACTTTAATTTCCGCATTAATTACTCCTTAATCAAGTACTAACTTGACCGTCGGAGGCGGATCTCCAATCATCCGGAGCATCCGTTTGTTTTGCAGGTATAGGCGTCCGGTTCTAGTCTCGGAATTGTAACTCTCCCGCAGGACATCAGAAAATCCCGAAACATTTTGGCGCCGTATGTGGGGAGAGTACTTCTGAGATGGCACCCACGTTTGTACCGGCTCCTGAAGAGAGACGTCCCCTAGACGATCCTCTAGTTCAGTCGGACCACGATACTGAGAATGAATTTGAAGTTGAAGCTCACACAGCTTCAGACGGGACCCTAAGGGCCCGACGTATCCGTCATACTGAAAGGAGGGAACGGGAACATCTTCAAACTGGAAGCGAGCCAGCAGGTGCACCGCCTGTTCGGCAGCAACCGACTGATGGGTCTGCTCCCATCACAAGGAACGAACTCATGACCTTCATGAGGGACTTCAAGGGAGAAATTCAAGAGTTGATCAACAAGAAGCCGCCTACTCTGGACAAGGAGCAGTCGGCTAAGAAACCCTCCACTTCACGGAAGAGGAAGCCAGTTCAAGGGCGAGAGGCGACCCCTCATCCTAAATCTAGGAAGTGGGAGCCACCTGCCCTTGATTTCACAAAATACCGTTTTCCTACTCCAGGAAATAGGAAACCTGTTCGTCATATTCAGGCGGACGGGTCGAGGAAAACATACACAGACGCTCGGCTACTGCTAGAGCAGAAGAAGAGTGACCGATTGTCAGAGTCGACCTCTACTTCAAACTTCCAAGACAGTCTGCGAAATACCTCAATGAGGCATACTCAGTCGTATCATGAGAGTCAGTCAGGCGGCACCTCCCGTCAGTCCGGCTTTCATAGCGACCAGGCGGTACCAAACTTACCGTTTGTACCGCAACAACAGTATTTTTCACAGCCACCTCCGTTTGGTGGACATGCAGCAAAAAATGTCCAACCTATGGACTGGCAGCTACGGTTGCTTAGACTTTGTGAACAGCCGTCGGCCTTCTCCAAGGAAATTACTGAAGCCGCTCAGCCGGCCAAAATGAAAAATGTATTAGTAGGCGCCTATGACGGCACTACTAACCCAGAAGACCATCTGATGGCATTCACCAACCTGATGTACCTTTAAGGGTTGGATGATCCCACTTGGTGCAAGTGTTTCCCAGCGACTCTCAAAGG